TTTTGGTTTTTCTCTGGTACCGGGAACTGAACTCACGACCTTGCGCTTGCCAGGCAGGCGCTTTGCAGCTGAGCTAAATCCCCAGCCCCCAAGCAATTTATTAAAATATAAAATGTTTATGTGTTTAGCACACATTAAATATTTCACAATGTATGTAAAGAAACAAAATTATGACCCATGTAAAAATAAAGTCAACAGAGACTCAGAGAAATTATGGAATGTAGATAAGAATTTTAAATAGTTTTCATAAATATTTTTAGTAGGCTCAAGAGTCTAAATGAACAGAGGGAGAAAAGAAATGAAAGACACAATGAAAGATCCAAATAGAATTTCTGGAGATAAAAAGTCAATATTTGAAATTTTGAAAATTACTAGATGGAATCACCAGTAGATTGATATACTACTTCAAGAGAAAATAACAGTAAGCTTCAAGAGAAAATAACAGTGAACTTCAAGACATAACAAGATAAGCACCCTACTCTCACAATTAGTTAGGTCAACCAGACCAAAGATTAATAAAAAAGAAATCAGAGTTAACCATATCACTGAACAAATGCATTCAATAGATATCTACATGTATTGTTTTATAAAACAATATGATACACATTATTCTCAGCAGCACATGGAAATTTTTCAATAGACTATACCTAAGGCCATAAAAGCAGACTTAAATAAATACAAAATAACTGAAATAATCTGCTGCATACTATCAGAACATAGTGTTATGAAACTAGAAATCAACAGCAAAAGAAATCACAGAAGCTACACAAACACATGGAAACTGAACAATACATTACAGAATAATCAATGCATCACAGAAGAAATTAGGGAGGAAATAAAACGTTCCTAAAATCAAATGACAATGGAAGCACAACATGCCAAATCCTGCAGGACACAATGAAAGTTCTAAGAGAGGAGTTTACATTTGTAAATGCACATATTTTTTAAAAAATTGAGCAATCCTAAATAAGTAACATAATGATGTATTGCAAGACCCTGAAAAAACAAGAGGGATCCAAACTGAAAGTAATAAAAGGAAAGAAATTATAAAGATCAGAGCAGAAATTAATAAAATTGAGACAAAAAATCCAAAGTATTAATGGATCAAAGAGTTAATTCTTTGAAAGAATAACAAGATTGATAAACTCTTGTCCAAACTAACCCCCTGTGCCAAAAAAAAAGACAGAAAAAACATATCAATGCAGGTTAGTAAAGAAAAAGGCAAAATCACAACTGGCAGTCCTGAAATCCAGAAAACTATAAGAATCTACTTTGAAAATTTATATTCCAAAAAATTGGAGAACCTAGAAGAAATGGAGAAATTACTAGACACACGTGAATTACCAAAATTGAACCAAGAAGATATAAAAACTCTGAATAAACCAGTAAGAAGTGATAAAATAGAGGCAATAATAAAAACTCTGCTGACAAAGGAGAGTCTAGGACCCAGTAATTTCACTGCAGAATTCTATCAGAACTTCAGAGAAGATCTAACACCAATATTCCTCAAACTATTTAATTAAATTAAAAGGCAAGGAGTATTTCCTAACTCATTCCTGGAAG